TAAAATTATTTGCTATTTACTTGTTTGTTTAACTCTTCCAAGAATGGGGTAACCTAATGACAGGTACTGCCTGTTCACACTGGAATGGACCTGCAAAGCAGATGTGTAGAAATAACATTTTAAATGTGCAACACGTCAACTTATTTAAGTTCAGAAAGTTTTGTGACCAAAGATGACTTCTTATAAATACTTTCAAAGGAATTACTCATTGTGCATTTAATTACCAAGTTGAGGACGCGTGGGAAACAATGGAGCATAAAACTGTCATGGCACTTTTCTATCCTGCTGCTCTGAATCAGGTCGTCAGGAAAAGAAAAGGAAAGATTAGAAGACACAGTAATTTTTTGCCATTAATTAGCTTTCAAGCTTTTAACACAAGACTGAAAGTCTTATCCATCATATCCAGCAGAGCACAGTTTGTACTAAGAACTGCAGGAGCATCAGACTTTCATGTTTCCCATCATAGCTCTAATAATTACAATGTACCTGATTTTTAGATAACATGACTGAAAAGGAAGGAGGGTGGGAGAGCAAAGTCCAGTTCCAAGAAAAACAGAATACTTTGAAGAAAAGTTTTATGAAATCTGAGAAAAATCTTGGAGGAATGCAGTTATTCTGCCCACTGAACATGTGCAGAAAGCATTACGGGATTTCTTACCTTTCATATTCAAAAATTAGTACTCAATTGAAATTCAGAGGCTGCAGTTTTAACTGCTGGGTTAAATACTTAAAATAACTGCATTCAAAGAGTGATTACTGCTCATTTTTTTAAATAAAAGGATAGTGGTCGATTCTGTAATTAAACCTGGAACCTTTTTACTTGACTAAAAACTCATTTAGCATTCTTTTTTTTTTTTTTTAAACTGCATTTATTCCCTTGAAAGTCAGGGATGGAGATGTCTATTTTCTTTTTACAAGGCAGAGAAGCTGGGTTAGTCACAGTCTGCAAAATGTTTCAGATCCTTGGTGAAAAGTCTCACTCCCCAAAACCCTCGACTGCTATAAAGAGAGAGTGAAGTATCTTATCTTACAGATTTATTATTCTCATTCAAGTGTCTCTCTTTCTTTCTCTCTCAGAGAAAAGCAACAAAGGAGGAGTAATAGTTGGTGTCATTGTAGGAGCCATTCTAGGATCTATATTAATTGGTCTGATTGGATATTTTATATGTGGTAAGAAAAGGTCCGAGTTATTTTCCCACAGACGACTTTATGATGATACAAGGAATGACCCCGGTAAGGAATAGCACAAGTGTTTTGCATAAGAATTTTTTTTTTATTTCTGCATAGAGTTGTTTAAGTAGTCTGATCTTAATGAATTATTAGGAATTACATCATCGATTCCAGTCAAACTCATTTTCAACTGACAGTACTTCATTATTTTTAAATTTTCCTCGACCAATACCCCACTTAAACTTATGTTTCCTCTTTACAAGTTATTTTTTAAACCTCTGAAATATCAAGAAATACTGTATCTTGTACAAGTGAACCTGTTCAAAGTATTGCAGATGAGTTCAAAACTATCGCTCAAAAACTCTCCTAACCTTTGATTAACTGAAAAAGGCTAGATTCCTTATTCTTCCAACTTCAATTACAGAATTAAGGATGAAGATATATCTGGTTTTAGGAATAAAAATATTTTTCAGGGGTTTAAAAAAGAAGATTGCTTTTGTCTTCTCCGTGAATATGTATAAACTTGGATTAAAGTGTAATCACACAGTCTTCAAACATTTGTATCATGTTCCTGGACTTCATTTTCAAATGTTTAAACAAACACTGAGAGGCTAAACACACTTTTTTCTCATAAAAAATGAAACCAAAACAAAACTCTGGCAACACGCCTTTTCTGGCTTAAATGCAAGAGCTCAAAGCTGCCAAAATGTCAGATTAGGAAATAGCTTTGAAAGTCGACCACCCATATAGTCCTGAACAGGCGTTACAGGGAGGACACATTATCCTCAGAAGATCATGAATCAGGGCCTTGATCTTTTGCGCCCCGCCATATGTAAGAAAGTGGTTAACTGGATTTAGCTGCGACAGGCTGCTGATCTAAACCATGCCGGTACCCAGCGTATTGCGATAAGAATCTGTGAAGTAATATATAAGAACTAATTACGTTTTCCTTTCAGTTCTCCACTTAGACAACTCACTTGGACCATACGATATGAGTTTTGGATGTGCATCAGACAACAAAACCAGCACAGCAGATACGGCAGAGAAAGACAACGCAGGGTGCCCATCCGATGGCATTCCTATGGCTGATGTGACACCATCCTACCCTTCGCCATAATGTTTGCTTCAGATTATATTCTCACCTGCTATCTACACGGTTTCATTTTTTCCAAAATGACCTGGCAGTTGTTATATTACAGCCATTACTGTGCAAACAATGTTTTGGAAAGCAAAGGGAAAATCACAGGGTATGCTGATACTCACAGACAGGGCCCAGCAGCAGAGCGTCACTCTTCTACTTTTCAGTTAAATTTTTCTGTTTTTTTCTGTAAGGATATCGTACCTACTTTCTTAGCAATAACATAGATGAATAGCAGCCAGGCAAAATTCTGCCTTCTGCAACATTGGTCAAGAACGCAGACATTGTAACAGAGCAAAAATTGACCAGGGTTGCAATGGTATTTTAGCATCAATACGAAAAAATGTGAAGTTTAACTACCTTGAGGTGAGACTCCTGTGTTCAAATATAATTCCTATCTGATAAATGAATCGGGGCATTATTTCCTCCACTCTACATTTGTACTTTCCTCAGTGAATACAAGAAAAAACATTAGGTTTACTTGGATTACTCAGAAGTTGAAGTTTGCTCAGGAGAATGGAATACTGAGTAACATGGACTACATTTAACCTTTGACTATGATGACATAGACTTAAAATCACTATGAAAGGGATAAACAAGAAAACAAGCTTCTACTCTGTCAAACTCATCTGTTGTTTGCATTGCAAGCTAGATCTATGGAAATGATGTAAAAGGTTTTGGTACAGGTTAGATAGAAGAAATACTTATCTTAACATGACAGGAAAGGAATTATCTCTGCCATGTATATAGATATCCTAAAAGGCATGCTCCTGTTTTGCCCAGCTAAAAAGTAAAATTATGGCAGTAAAACACAAATAATTGCATAGTTTATCTGCTTGCAATTATCAGAAATGTCTAAATAAAGAACATGAAAAAGATATAGCTGTAAAGGCATAAAATAAACAAAACAAAGTGCAGAGAAAATAACTACTCAAATGGGATACATGCTTATTACTATGACTTTGTTAAAATGCTTTATTTAGTGTGGAGACTGTGGATCACCTGGATGTAGTTACTTCACTAACTGGCTGTGAATGATGCAATGAATCTATGTGTGAGAAAATTACATGTATGCACACACCAGAGAGTGAAACAATGGCAGTCACATTGCACATGAGTAAACCAGGTGTTTTTTCAAAGTTAAAAGATTAAAGAATTGAGTGCATACATGCAGTGTTGCCTTTCCTACAGGGGTCAGTCATGAAAACAGCATGATTTCTAGCAAAACCAGAACCTGATTTCTAACATTGTATCCAGCATGTTGGATAGCAGACTGAAAATCTGAGACACACTCGGCTGCGCTACGAGACAGGATCACTCTGCTGCTTGAAACTAAGAAAAATGTAATGCTGAGCTTTCATCCTCAGCACATATTATGCCATCTTTCCTGATAATGGTAAAGCAAGTATCACATCAGCAAAATTCCTTCTTACGCTTGAACCTTGGCCTTGGCTGCAAGTTGAAAGAGCTCTCTCTAAGGAGAACTCGAACATCGAGATGAAGGCATGCTAACAAACTACCAGCGTTGACTACATTGGTAACCATATAATCAAGTGCAATGTATTTTAGGCATTTATGAAACTAATTATTAGTAAATGCAAGGCTACAACAGCAAGATTAGGAACCAATGAAGAAATATCACTGAGGCAAGCAATAAAAGTGCACCCTTCAGTTATATTTACATCGTGTTAATTTTTAATAATCTAATTATGATTTTTGTATGTATGTCCATGTCCTTATGCTGTCCATGTACCTCTCTGATGTTTTGCTGCTGTTCGTGTATTGTCTTTTGGTTTTACCCTGCCAGCCTCCAAAATTTGTGACATTTGCTCATCCTTCACTTTAAGTTAGAATAATTAATGCTTATTCATACATATTATGTAAATAAAGCTGTTGTGTGCCATTTGACTCTATTTAGAATTGCAAAACTCTTGTTCAAATTCAAACAGTTGTATGTATGTGAACTGGTGTTATTTTCTCAGGGTTTACATAGTCAAACATTTACATTGGGAAAATTAATTATATTTTGTCCTAATACCAATCTTCCCTACTTTCCAGCAGCAAAACACTATTAGCTCCAGTGAAAGCTAATTCCATCAAGCATTTCATGTTGGAATCATTACATCTGTCTTGTTTGGCATTATTACACTGACCTTCAAAGAGAGGGAAGACGGTTCTAGGTACTCCTGTTCAACTGCGGCCTCTGTGAATATCACCCTGCTTGGCTTTGTGACCCATGACATGATGTGTGTGATGTCAGAGCAAACATACTGAGATATTCAGATTGAGAATTTGAACATAAATAGTTAAATGGCTGTAAGCACTTAATGTCAAATCTTTCCTATACTTCCCACAAAAACATTCGCATTCATTCTATAAGAAATCTCTACAAGACGTGATTTTTTTTTTAAATTTACTGACTCCAGATCAGTAAATTAACCTACATGTTTGCCTCTAAAAAGACTTCTGCCTGTGTGATATAAAATTTAGGCTCAAAGACATTTAAGACACTAAAGACCGTTATTAAATTAATGGTAAAATGTATTTTCACCCACTACCTGCATAGAAATTGAAGCTGATGAAAACAGGAAAAAAAATGTTTCTGACACAAAAATCGTATCTGCCTTTACTCAGTAATCATATAAAAGGGTCAGGTAAACTAAAAGCACAAAACAAATAAAAATGTACTTACCCCAAATTGCCATGAAAATAGCAAAGAAGACAGTCCCTCCATTATCAAACAAATGTGTAACCTGAACAGAAAACAAATACATCAGGAACAAATAATATTGCCACCTTATCTGTTGCCCCAAAGAATCCCAGAGTACAGAACTGGTGGCAGAAACTAAAAGCTAAGCATTCTCGTAAGAATTCTGTCCTACTTGCATAATGCTTCTACCAAGGTTTGTCCTGTTCTGTCTTTCAGTATATCATGGACTCTGGTTTTGCAGACTGTCACTTTGTATATCTCCAGTCCATCTATTTCACAGACACTAAGAGTTGCTCTGTCCATGTCCAGACAGGCTAGAATTTCCTTCAGAGTTCTTCTCATATGCTGGATCACATTTAAACTCAACATTTTCTATTCTAAGGGTTTTATAAGCTTAAATAAATTCTGTCTTTTCACTTTCTTCCTCTGCATATTACTTAGCGAACGTGTCTTTTGATTTCATTTTCTTCTTTCCCCAAGCTATCTTGCAATTCTTCTGCAGGTAAGAACATATATATTCCTTTGCTTTGTAAGAACAGCATATATTCCTTTGTATCCAGACATCTCAGCACCTCAAATTGTTGACATATTCTCCTTCTTAAAAGGCTAGTGCCTCTAAACTCTAACAAACATGAAATAAATTCTAAATATCACTCCCTAAAAACATAATTCTAAAATGAGTACTTAATTTCTCCTCTTGAATGCTCTCCTTTTTGTTGGATTTATCCTGTGTCTTACTCCTTGTTATACGATTTTTCGGGCAGAACAGATGTTCTGCTGCAAAGTCCAAGGCTTACCAATAGAAAAGAATAATTTTTGCATGCCTATGGATCGCTCTAAGCATCTGAGTGGGTGAATTTGACCTTATGAAAACATCACAATTAATATTACAAAAATCCAGAATTTCTAATATTCAAGTCATAATATGAAACAGTATTTAGGAAGCTGAAATTAAGATCAATGTACTTTCAGTAGATTTAAGGTTGTCAATTTACAGCAGTGTAATTTATCAAGGGATAATGGGACTGCATTTCTTCTAATGAAAGGTGGTTTAAGATGGTGCAGAGCATTAGTAAGCAAAACACAGGCTTCAAATTCCGATTTGGAAAAAATGCACAAATAATCATAAAACAATAGAGCAAACCAACTTATCAACAGGTATACGTTAGAAAGAGGATCTGAAGGAAGAGGAAAAAGAAACATAAAAGTGCTGTAAATGGCTTTGATATGCATCGTCCTAAACCATCCAGAAAATTAATGGTGATTTCTCCCTCTTCAAAACAGGAAGAGAATGTCTTGATACAGAATATTCTTGAAAAGACTTTACTTTCATTGTTGTTGACTCTGTTGCTGACTTAAGGACCTATTTTTAAGGTTTTATTATGAAAAGAAACTCGTCCTTATGCATATGTAAGGGCGCAGGTAACCAGATTCAGTTGTGACCTTCTCTTACATACGAAGTTACTCTGGCCAGTAGGAATTTTCTACACATGAAGTGTGCCAGGGTGCTGGGGCTGACTGCCCACCTCGGGCAGGTTGCCTGACCAGCTCCTGCAAGAGCTGCCTGCTGCAAGAACTCTCATCTTACTGACAGATTGTCATTTTTCTAGAGAAGACTGGCATTATTGCTTCTGCCTCGTAAATTGAGAACTCAGGAAAGCAGAAAAAGTTAATAGAAACAGTCTTGCCTTTATCTAATTTTATTTCTTATTGAGTAAAATTATTATAATATTGTGAGAATGTATTAAAAACATAGTTTCTCTTTCTGTCAGTTCTGTTTTTCTTTTCTTTTTTTAAGGTTCTGAAACAGGAATTGACTATTTGGTATTGGATATCAATAAATCCAGTATGTTCCCTGCATGAATCAAACAGTGGGATCAATTGTACATACAAATAAGTCTTTTGCTTCAATTTTCTTTTGCTTCCAAAAATGAAAATACAAACATCATGGGTATTAGACCGAAAACGTGAGAGGTGAGCAAAAGCAGTACAATAAACTTGATGAACATTTTCATTTTTGAATACAAATCTGTGTGAGGACGCAATTTTGGATAGTCTGCTTGGTAAATAGTGCATCTTTCCAAGGAAACACAAAATGAACCAACCAAGCAAACAAACCTAACCCAGCAGAATTAATGCTGCTAAAAGTAGACAATACGTGTCTGGCTCCTGATCTAGCTTTGTCTTTATAAAAAATGTTTGGGCTAAAGTCTCTCAGCACCACTTGACTGTCTTAAAGGCTAAATGCACAGTTTGAGACTCTGTCTTGACCAGAGGCCTCTAAGCAGAAATGAAATACTGTAAGACTCGGTGCAAGTCTGTCAGCATACCTGACTGAGGTTGTCATCATCCTACAAGACTTCAGGCACTTCAAATCCACCCTGAATCAACACTCTGTCCCGGGGCTTGAGAGCAGGGTCTGCTGAGTGCAGGAGCAGCCCAAAGAGCCCTACCCCAACACCCTAATCACCCGTGGATCAAAGAGTCCATTTAATGCGGATGAGAATGACAGCCTGGGCGTTCGGCAATTCAGAATACAACTCACATGCCTTTCTCTTAAATCATAAACTTCACTTCAGCGCAGCATTTTTAAATGGAAATGGAATAAAGAAGGAAGGGATGAAAGAAACAGGCAGTTACACGAAAGAAAAAGGCATCTTTTGTATTTTGTCTCCAGTTTTACAAAAAACTTGGCAGAAAAAACATCTGAAGTATATGATTTTTTCCAGCATTAGTTTGTTCTGACTGAATTGCTCCTCTAAAGGGAAACTTGGCAGATATTTACTGAAAGTAACCCTCACAGTAGTTTTAATAACACGAAATATGAGCACAAGGCCTTACATAAATGCGGCAGGTCCCATGACCTGAGAAGATGAACTGCACTTAAAGGAACTCACTTTTCCTAATTAACTCAATATACGTACTCATATACAATGAGCTATTTGAATGAATGAGGATTAAAAGACTTATTCTAGAATAAGGGTGCCAGTGCCTGGAATGAATCAGGAATAGCTTATAGCTTCCCTTGCATATCAGCTCTTCCTTGTGTGCAATAGCTTCCTTTCCCTCGGTTGTGCGCAAGGAAGACAGAGAAATAAGTTATGTTCCCAAAACAACAAAAGCAGAGGGACACATTGACAAGCTCCATCTCAGGAATTAGAAAGCAACCAGGAAATGTCATTTTCTTTTCCCAGAGACCAGATGTGATGGCTTATTTTTAAATATGTTAGTTCCACTTACTCATATTACTAACAGTGCTTCAGAAAGTACAAAGCACATTTAATTTGAAATCAGTTTGTAGTTTTCCAACATTATGGATTGTTTTCATTCACTAATTCGGGTGCAGACAAAGTGGGAGTGCTGATAGACGTTTGCGTATGTGCTGCTCAATTCAGTGGCAACACGGCGGCACCCAGCAGGATCACAAACCCTGTTGGAAACCAGATGTTTCTGAGCAAGAGGGTAACGAGCAAAGTTGCAGTTTGCAGTGAACTCTTCTTTAGAAACAACATGGTGAATGAAAGCCTTACAATTATAATCTTGGAGTTACGAAAACTCTCATTGAGTGGTTTCTTTTTTTCCTTTTTCTTTGCCATTTGAGTGGCCAGATGGTAATTCTATTCTTTTCCAAAGAAAAGTCTCTCTTCCCCCCTACTTGGGGGAGATCCAGAACAGACAAAGCCTGAAAGGAGACATTTTTTGGTTGTTTTCTGTGTTCCAATCTAAGGTTGAGCAGTTTTTCAGAGTGAAATCATTGTCAGAAAAAGTTGGGAGATTACATGAATTTCCATATTTGCAGATACCAGAAAAGGGTGCCTGCGAAGATGGAATACAAGTGGTTACTCGTCTTCCCCAGTTGTCATCAGAGTTTGTTTCAAGGGGACTGGTTTGAAAATACATGGATACAAGGACGGGCTGCCACATTTCTTCTGCTGTAATTTATTTTTCACAATTATTGAAATGTTAAATTTGCATGATTTAAGCACAGGATGCTAGTGTAAATACGAATAAGACAAAACCTGCTTCTTACTAAATGAGGATGTTAAAATAACAGGACCCAAAGTTAAAGAGATGCCACAACATCAAATGTTTTACTCAGCACTGGACCTATCTATATCAAATTTTGAAATCTAACATAAAAATTGATTTTCTCTTCACATTGCTGCAGTATTGTAATGCTATGGCCCAGAGAATCATGTTATAAATACAGGCTTCTGAGCAAGATTTGTCTTATGGGCTAAAGAATTCCAAGAAAAATGCCAAGGCTGCTTTTCTAGCATTATGAACACATCACACATCAAAATATATTGCTCACTTGAAAACACTGCATGTATACAGAAGTATTTGTGATTATTTAAGTTTGAATGATAGGTTCTTGTAGCAAAATATTTAGTTGTGTAAAATCCTCGCAGACAGAGCAAAGCACGTTACAGGCACATTATGCTAGAGAATTTCTTTAGAAGGAGCAGAAATTCAATTACGAAGTAAGCAAGGGAAACAGAGTAAGAATTATAGGGGAAAGTAGCAAAATTCTCACAAGAAAAGTTTCGTTACTCAGGGGACTTTATAAATTGATGAAAATAACAAGGATTTAGGAAGGAAATGCTCATAGAAAGTAAAATTTCATAAAAATCTCTGATCGTTTCAGAGCATTCCCTTATTAGAAACACGTATTACAGAGACTGAAAAAAACTATAGAGAAATATGTTTTGCACAAATCTTTGCTGAAACAAGGGCAACCATTACACAAAGAAAATAGATTTTTAGACAAAAATGATCTTGATAGCAGTAAGATAATAATTACCTTGGCGTATATGCAGCTTTCATTGAGCTTTTGTAGTGTGCAATTGCGTTCACACATAGGGCACATGATGGTTTCATTTGCCTCGCAGATCTCTTTGCTTTAGCAAGAGACAGGAAAATAAAGGTTATAAAAAGGCTTTTAGCATTCCTAAGATTTTCTGAGGTTATACCGTTTGTGGTCTCTATTTTTTAACAATATGCCTACATCTCAAAACTGGCTCAATAAAATAAATTAAAAGTGAATGTTTGGCTTGAAAAGCTTAATTCAAAATCAGTAGCCTGAAAACTATGGGCCCTAGAGTAGTACTCAGTATTTTTGGGCATCATGCTATGCTTGTCACACTTGTGAATATCCCGGTGTCTCCCAAACATCACAAACAGAACAAAACATTGTTCATTTCCTTCCAACTCATTTATTGCATATTTTTCTAAGCGATGTAGAAGATACCAAAAGTTAAGAGAATGGACATCACTGGTATAACTACACTGATTGCAATCAGCTTATCCCAGTTTACATCAGCTGAAGGCCTGTTTCATAGGATGACCACAAGCATACTTTGATCAGTCAGTCACATGTAGAAGTCCACTGACAGGGTTTTCTGGTAGTAGTATTTCAAGTCCGCATTTTTATTTCCTACAGAAGAATTTATGTATAGAGCTAAGAAAAAAATACTTTAATATCCTAACTTTGGGGAAAATATCTTCAAACCACGTTCTATTCTATCAAGATCCTAAGATACAGGAAGATGAAGTCACTGCCTTCATTAGGACCACTGACATTCAAAATGTAGAACAGAAGTATGTTGACAAAGGCAAAACGGAATTAACAGAAGTGCAAAAATGAATTTTAAGGCAAATTTTAACTGCAGTGAGTAAGCTTCCCAAAGAACCTCAGCAATCGCATTTTCCTATCCTTTAGGAGCATTGACATGTCTGAAATGATCCTATGACACACTAGGAAAGCAGCAGTACAAACAAATGCCAGGAAATCTCTACTGATTTGTTTCAATAAACATTGCGCTTTCATTCTCCTCCTCACAAAAGCTGAATTTACAGTTCTAATACTGTATGGAAGATTATGTTTGTTTTCAAATGAGTGCATCTATTAAATCCTGTCTGGCATAACAGTAAATAGAAATGAAAGATTCTGGTTGCCCAGATGTCACTTTTGTAATCTTTGGTCATACTTCACATAACATCAGGATCAGTAATTCACCGAAACCCTACAAAATAATGTGGATCTGATAAAGAAATTGTCCTAAGTAACCCCTACGCCAGAATGAGCACAGCCAGTCATTTCAGAGTTACAGAGTAACAGAAATCTCATAGTGTGTCACATCTGAGAATTTTCTTCATTCTTCCATTTTCATTTAAATGATTAAGCACAGAAAATCATATTTCAACAATATGTTGTAATAGTTTGGCAATAATACAAACTGTCATCACACATAAGGCCAAATTGTACTGTACTTGGATTTTAAATTCAACATGATAAATGTTAGATTTTCTGTATCTTGGTTTGTTTTTAACAATACATGAAGTTTCACAAAATTACACTGACAGTGACAGGTCATATGCTTTAGCACTGCTCTGCAAAGGCAGTAACATTTGTTACACAAGTGTTTGTGACAGGTGCTATGTTAACTGTTACTGCAACTCAAATCGTCAGTATAACAGAGCAAAATAAGCCTCTTTGTACTGTCCTCACTTAGATATCTGGAATCTGACTGGTGCAAGGACACCTCAAGTTGTGCTGCGTTCATGCCCAGCCTTTCTGCTTGACAAAAAATGGACAACTTACAACAGTGATAATTAACGATATGTATAAACCCAACAAAACCAAACTCTTTAAAACCATCAGATTTATTTTTATCTAGACTAATCAACATGTAATAGCTTGACACCTAACTTGAGGATAACGATAGGTAACAGATATGGCACATAATTTGTTGAAAGAAAAGAACCCATACGAAGGGACTGTTATAGGACTATTTAAGCCCTCCCATTTGACTACCACTTCACATTTTCCCTCAGTTTATCTCAGGGAGGGCAAATGGATTCAAATATATTTAAAACTGTACGAAACAAGAAAAAAAAAAATTCACGTTCTGCATTTTTGTTTCTGCATGTCTGAGCCCTATGAATATAACCCAAATACTCTGGAAGCTACTATGGAGTTTCTTCAACAGAGACTCTCTGAATTTTTCTCTTGGTTACCTTCATCTCACAACTGAATCCTGCAATGAGCTGCTGACACTATAATCTCAGTACCCTGGGGGACCTCAGTGTCAGCTCCTGGCAACCACGGCATAACCAAGCTTTATTCCAAACCCACGCAAGTAAGAGAACATTCTCCATTTCAATGTGATTTCAGTAACACTGCCCATCTCATGCACTTGTTTCATGACAGGAAAGAAAAAACATCCCTAACCACACAGAATGGAGAAACTTCTGTTTCTGAACATAGGACACATATGCACATTTGCTTATAATAGTACCTAGTCCGTGATACCACGGTGTATATGCAGGGGTTTTGTCTTCCAGTATTATTTCACCTTCCTCCGATACATTTGAATTATCAAATGATTCAATCAGACTCGAAAGTTTATTGTCTCCCTAAAACTGTAACTGAGGAGACAGAGACTATGACAAGGGGTAAAAGCCAGTGCAAGAGGGGCACTTGCCCTGGGAAAGAAGGAAGAGTACCACCAAAACTAAGCAAATATGCACCATTTCCAACTTGCTTGTGGCAGCCACAGATGAACTACACAGGCGGCAGGGACTGATGGCCCCATGCCAGGCTGCAATGGGGTCCTGGTACAGGCTGAGATTTATTTATTTGATATTTTCATATGTATATAAAAAGAGTCACTTGGTATCAAGACAGACCCTGAGCACGGAGCAGAGGGTATTTGCTTATTCCTTCTCTGCTGAAACTGTGCTGGACTTCAGCGGAAAAATACAAAAACAATCGTTTTCTGCCTGCAGCCACTAGATGGGAGTCACGGCAGCTCCATGAGCCTGAGAGGTGAAGGGACACCACTGAGGAAAGCATCCTTCTGCAAAATGGATTCGATCAGTCTGTTAAGTTCAAATCTTGTGGTATACAAGACAGATGAAAAATAGGGTTTTTTTTGACAGAATTTATCATACTGTAAATCAATACTTCCTAACATCTACTGATTCCCAGTAACAGGCATTAATAGAATAAAACTTGTTTCACATGAAATAGCGTTACAATGAATAATGCTGAATCTGGGGCACTGTGGCAGTTATGACATTGCCATAATGCCCTGGCACCAGGTTTACATTCCTAATTGCCACTGGATTTTCTGTGTCTAGATTTTGTCAGAATAAGGTACCCGACTCCATATCTTCCTGATGGCTGCTGAACACTGGATTTGCATACCGCGGTAGCTGCAGTGCTCAAAATCAAAGGATATGTTTTAAAACTGTTATAGATGTTTATCTAGCAGTTTTCTTTAAATGACTGCAGAAACACTAGATAAATAATCTCACAGTCCCAGAATATGACAAGAATAAGAACATTTAGGTTGTGCAGTCTGTCTGCTCTGGGTAGGAGGTTTCTATCTAACCCTCACTAACCCCTTTCAGGCTAAGTAAGCCAACGCAGCAAGGAGCAGCATCTGTCATCACTGGCCTTTAGAATTGCCTAAGCACACAAGGTGATACAGAAAACATCTACATAAATTTTAACAGGCCAGTCACACCCTGCAACCTTCAACAAGCAAGATAATGGTGTCTCTATTAACAGAGCTAAGCAGAAGTCCTATCTTTAGGTCTTCTTGGCAGAAGCGTATGGCACATATACTAGCACATAATAGCCTACAGTTTGAAAAAATCAAATTCTTAGAAATTTTGTTCTTTCTCTTGGGGTGTGTCAATGTCAAACCTTTCTCTTCCACAAGGAGTGCCTAAAATATTAAGCTGTAACTTGATAATAGTAGATTATGGCCCTTTGTTTCCCTCTTGTAGAAACTGTTTCATTGTACATGTGAAGAATACTTCAACAGTCCTAGTTGCTGTGCTCTAAGAACTGGCTGATCTTCTACTTTACATTACATTCATTGCATTTTATGAACATTTATCATGCAGAACAATCCTAATACAGAGAACAATATCTTAAAGATAGCATAGCTTCCCAGCTGATACTTTTAACTGCATCTAAGGCAGTTTGAAGTTGTAAAGTCTCTCAGGAGTTCGCTGTACAAAAGCAAGCCTAAAAAAGCCTGAATTACAGCACTGCGGAATATAACAACTCACTGTGAAACAGAAGATAAGACAATTCCATAAAGAAAACGTAAAATAGTCCTGCTCAAAGCCCAAGAAACAACACTTTCTATGAAATCTGACTCCATGTGTACTTATAGCCTAAGCATTCAAACTGCTTGAAGGAACAGTTGCAATTCTAAGCGCATGGATACTGTTGTTTCTGACAACATCTAATGGAAAACTCTGTAATGAAGGTATGTCCTCTGAAAGAGTTCCTAAAAACACAGTCAGCACTTAACTCAAGCTCCCTCATCACTATTTCTAAATTGACATAAAGCTCTCTCAGAGCAAAATCACAACAGCATGAAACTCAAAAACTAGGTTCATTCCATGTGGTTGTAATCTCCCTGAAGCTGCATCTCCTGTCTGCAGTTTACAGACATAGTTAAGAATTTTGTTAAGGCTCAAAGTTTGCCACTATTAACACTAAGAGAAAACAAAGGCATAGACCAAAGTTAAAGTTTAGCAACTGTACTACACTCTGGAAGTTATAGGACAACAGCATGAAACTCAAAAACTAGGTTCATTCCATGTGGTTGTAATCTCCCTGAAGCTGCATCTCCTGTCTGCAGTTTACAGACATAGTTAAGAATTTTGTTAAGGCTCAAAGTTTGCCACTATTAACACTAAGAGAAAACAAAGGCATAGACCAAAGTTAAAGTTTAGCAACTATACTACACTCTGGAAGTTATAGACAAGATGGAGGTAAAGAGAGAGTATGTTTGACTTTTTTCACCCATTAGCCTTGCCTAGAATGACAACCATTGCAGTACTCATGACATGAGCATTGATACTTGCTGTTTTTCCTTACAGTCAGAATGGGAATCACTGCAGATGCAGTGGTAAGAGCACTTGCTGTGAATGGTATGCATTCAGCTTGATGCAAAACAGATATACAAAGTAAATACACTTGACTGAGGAACCTGGTTGTTTTACTTGGTTATTTTTACATGATTACCATATCTGGAAAGCATTTATAAATATAATAATGAGTTCAGTTGTACCAGACTGTTCTTAATTTTTAATAGGCTATTATGTTTTTAAATGGGATTTTACCTTACTTGGCTGGAATCCATCGTAAATAAT